TGTGTGTGTGTGTGTATGTGCATATATATAAATAAATAACCTCTCGGATCCCCTGTTGGCCGAGCTGTCAGTTGTTATCTGGAAAGAATGATTGAAGTGAATGAATGCAAATAGCCCAACAAAATCTGAAAAAATTAGGTTGATGGCATATTGCTGCACAACACTGCAGGTTAAAATGTCAAATTGTGGCAGGAGCGTTGGCGTAATAGCTTCACTGTGAGCTCGGCTCTCGTAGTCCGCTTTGCGGGATGATAATCCATTTATTTTAATAGTCTCCCATCTGCAGTGTTGCTGAATATTCAGAAGTAATTCCAGTCAACTCACTGCACTGTATCAGATGTTTTATGCATGAGTCTAACCACTGGCACAAGGCCGTCATTAACGTGAGCACCGTTACGTTTCTCTCTCCCAGATCCAATTTACTTCTGGCAGCAGACAGCGGAGGACGTCACGGCGTGCGTGCGCATACCCGAGGGTGTCACCAAAGAGCAGGTGCAGTTCAGGCTGACGGCAGACCGCATCAGGCTCGGGGTTCAGGGTTTCCCTTCGATACTGGAGGGCCACCTGCACTCGTCTGTAGACCCAGAGGCCAGCGCCTGGATCATCAAGGATGACAAAAGGTGTGCAGAGTTTGATTTCTGTATTTTCAGGAGCACAAACAGCCGTGATACCGGAAACCCCATGGTACGTCATTACAGCAGTGTTTCAGTGTTTATGCCTTCACGCGTGGAGGCAACGCCATATGTCAGGAAATTTGGGCACAAACGTTCACTCTTGCTGCGTTCCAAATCGCATACTGCAGGTACCCTTACAAAGTACGTACTGTTGCATGCGGTATGGATTCAAGTGTCTTAAAAACTGCATTTTCTCTAACGGCCAGCAGGGGGCGATTCTTTCGGTTGCAAAAAGAAGTCTGATTGTATAGAAGTCTATGAGAAAATGACTCTACTTCTCTCTTGATTTATTACCTCAGTAAACATAAGTTTATGGTCTCAATCTCTAGTTTCAATACAGTATGATGTTCATTTTGTAAATTATAATCCATTTAGAGTCAAATAGACCATAAAGCAGGGTATGCTTTAGGGCGGGGCTACACGGTGATTGACAGGTCGCTGCCCCTACCAAAGCCGCATACGGCGTCTCTGCGTCACTCCTTCACATGCCAAATATGGTCACTTCTGTTCATCGGTCGCAAAAAAGACAATTTTGCGACGCCGTAATCCAAGATGGCAACGGCCAAATCACCGAACTCAAGGCTTCAAAACAGCAGTCCACAAACCAATGGGTGACGTCACGATGACTACGTGCACTTAACTCCATACAGTCTATGATTAGGACATACTAAACCATTTTCTCGGCACACTAAATAGTATGGTAGTTATGCTTTTGGAAAGCACTATTGGATTCAAGGATGAAGTGATTAGAATACGTTTTTGGCCATAACTCAAGCATTCATACGCTTCAAACTATGACATTTTCACACAAACGTCTAACAGGATAAAATGATGAAGTGGTGACATTTTGGACAGATGTGGACGTAAACTTTTTTCTTGAGGCTGTAATTCTAGTTTAAAGTATTGCTTCTGAATAAGGGGAACAGGGAGCCACAAACCACCAACTCCAAGGAACAGTTTCCAGCCCGGTCTTGTTTATTCTCCTGTGTGTTCACAACCTCGTATCAAAACCATAACTCTCACATACTGTATGTTATCTGCACCCCATGAATCTCAGAGCAGAGAATTGTTTCACATTCGTATGAATGAGTAGAATATTGACTGTGTGCAGTAATCGTGCACTATTACAGAGACATGTTATGAGCTTGGATCCTGAGTGTGAGAAGTGTCACTAGTGTACTGTCTTTGTTTATTTACAGTTTTAATCTTAATTTAAGGCTGTAGAATAGTACAAGTAAGTTCTGTAGTTGTCTTCAGTCCCACTCACACGTGAGTCGATACACCTGTGTTGGTGTCAATACAATACCTTGAAAAATATCGATATTCACTTCCATTTTCAAGAGCACAGGGAAGAATTTACATACATTCATTCAAAATTTCAGAATTTTATAAAAAGATAAATGTAACATGACGACGCCGACCTTCCTTTTCTCGTCTATTGAACACCCGATTCAGGGAGACGCGTTGTCCTGGTTGCAGAACAGTGGAGCAGCTCATTTATTACTTTGAAATGACCAAATCCACTGTGATTCAGTGTTACAGAGCAAAATAAAATAAAAAGGACATGGTACTTTTCATAAGCATCGGATCTATTCATCCAGTAGTCACTATTAGTTGAGTCATATCCTCCACTTTAAGCCCTTTCATCTGAAAAAGAAGAAACAGGAAACGGAGACTGGAGAGTGCCCTCCAGTCTCCGTTTCCTGTTTCTTCAATACGAGTCCTTCAACGCTCCATTCAGTGTAAAAACTTATTACATAGCCTGTTTGTTAGATGTCTGACCATCCTTGATACGTGTGTGTGTGTGTGTGTGTGTGTGTGTGTGTGTGTGTGTGTGTGTGTGWGTGAGTGAGTGAGAATGCCTGCGTCTGTTACTCGGTATGCAGAAAGAAAAATCTAAAAATAATGTTGTTCAGATAAGGAACTGTGATGCGGACATGAGTGTTTTATCCAGCACCTTTTTATTTATTTAGGATTATTCAAGCTTATCCCTGCTTGCGTATTAAAGATGTATTGTGCTGACATTTGGTGCTTTGTTGTTAACTCCATACAGTGGTACAGTGGCCTTTTCTCTTTGAATGCTGTTTGGGTGCAGCTTAAAAGATGCCCTTTTAAGCTGTGAATAATTCAGAAAATCACACATTCACACTGGCTGTTTGTTTCTACATCGACGCACAAAGGACATTATGGTAGCCAATATAGAATAGAGGGTTTGATTTGTTTCCTTGATTGTATTGTGCATGTTTTTCCATACTAATGGCTTATTCTCTCTGTAGACAGACAGCTGTTCCCCATCCTGCTCTCTTTTGTAGGGAGCTGAATTAAGAAGTTGCCCTGTGTGTCTCTTCCATATCTTGTCACTGTTTGCCCAAATACAGACCCGGTTTCAAAACGTGCAGCAGCACATCAGATTATAAATGACTGCATTTGAGGGTCTGTGTTGGTATTTTTAGATAGAGGCTGCAACGTGTGAGCAACGTGTCCTGTTCAAGTAGCAGTTTGCCTTTTGTTACACCTTAAAGATCCCCTTAAAGATTCGCTCAATGCTGATGATTGGAGATTACCATCCGTAAAGTTAAGCTTGTAACCAGGTTAACAAACTCGTAACCTTCGTTTGCGCTATTTATAGCTTGATTACCTGCAAATGCTGAAAGCTGAACCAAACTAAATCTGATCAAGGATTTAATACCAGATCCAGGTCTGATGAAAACTAGTTCCAAGGCTCACCGTCGCGTTCCTGGACCATTTTGAGTCCAACGTGAAGCACAAGAAGTAGCAACAGGATGAACGCTTTCATTTGAACACATGTTTAGCTACAATAGAGTGCCAGTGCTTTCACATGGCGTGTTTGGGGATTTCAGAGTCTTATCTGGATTTCTGTGCCCAGCGGAGATGAACTTAATTTTAATAGCACTTTTCAAAACAAAAGTTGCTTTGTAGGAAGATGAAAGAGGGAGATGGAAGACAAAATATAAGACATGAAAAAAACAAACATGCATAAGCCATTAAGGAAAAGTTAGTCAAAATCATTATCAGGCTAGATGATACAGTTAACTTGAACAGATTTAATTAATTATTACTTAGTGTTCTGATTTTTGTCACTTCACACTTCTAATAGTTTGCACATGTGCTGTACTGTGATGCAGTTCCAACGGTACATTCAGCGGACCATAATGCATTAGAGACATTATACACGACACATTCAGTACCAGAACACACACAGTAGTTCATTATGCTCTCTTTGCTTCATGGCAAACTGCAAATGGTGCACTATTACTGAATGTCCTCACAACCTGTGACCAACAAAGGGAGATGCGAGATTAAATATTTCGGGGGAGAACGCACATATGCAAACGTCTCATGTGAAAACAAGACGGAAAAGAAAAGGAATTCTAATTCATTTATTATATGGCTCGAACCCATAAAGACGGATCTTCATTACCATCATTTAGAATTAATGAACTGGCTCACGTGTATTCGTGTTTAGCCAAGTGTATAGATTTCAAGTGTAGAAAGACATAATAACATTATACCGACTCCACAGCTGCAACCGATGAGCAGCGTTTCATCTGAAATGTTTGTGTCGACAGCAAATAATGTAACTGAGAGCCACTTGTCAAAATTAGCCACATAGAAACAGGGATTGATGGCTGCATTTATTTGATTTTTATACCTTACAGGAAAATGTAAAGGACATCTGTGAAAATTAATGTGATTTTAAAAAACAAAAACGAATTCAATCTTTGGCAAAAATATTTTCATAAAGGAGTAATCTGACAATTAACTCGTTGTTTGGTCCAATCACAACATCCTTGAGCTCAATGTGACTCATTAAATGTCTGAACTGTCCAAAACCCAAAATGTTTTGATTGAAAAGCAGCAAGTTTTCACATTTTTCGAACCTAGAACTATCACAATAACTTCTACAAAGAATCAGGTTTTCTTGGACTCTCTTCCTCGATGTAGTCTTTTGCTACTTTAAACACGTCTCACTTGCCACTGAAGATTGGCCACAGACCTGTCAGCCTGAATAACTCCTCAAGTTCTCCTCTGACACTTTTCTCATCAAACTGCGTTTTTGCCCACTAGACGGCTCCTGATTGGTTGTTTACTGGTTGATTGCATCATTCTCATTCCACGTACGCCGTTAGCTCTGTGGTTCATAAGAATCATTCTCTCAGGCAATTTCTCAAAGTGTTGAAGTTACAAAAGCTTTTGGCAAATCAGTACGTGATCTTTCCGGCGCTTTACGTCTGGCAAACTTCAGCTTTATCATTTACATATGTATGACTCATTGATCGGCAGCCCTTTGAATGAGAAGGGGCATGTTTTTATTTGTGTTGGTGCTCATGTGAATGTGTCCTCAGCCTGGAGGTGACCCTGCAGAAGCGCAGTGAGGGGCCGCTGTGGTCGGAGCTGGTGACGGGGGACAAGAGAGGGGAGTACGTGGTGAGCGACGAGCAGGCTGCCCTCATCCACGAGAGACTGACGTTCCTCACCTCTGAAGACTTGGTAGGCTCATGCTGGTAACTCACATGCTACATGTTATGGACGTTCTCTTTTATCTGTGCCGTCATTAAAGTAAATCCTACGCTAAAGTTGCCGCCCATGCATTAAAATATACCCCAAACTTTACTGGGGAGCAGGGATTGGCTTTCCCATCTTTATGGCATTCTGTTGATTCTCTGATAAACACATTTATCGTGACAGATGATGGAAAGTTGTAATTATTTCTGTGGAGACTGAAAGACAAAACAAAAGAGACTAGACGTTTTGTTTTTTACATTTTTTGTTGAGTATTTGAGTGAAATTGAAAGTCATGTTTTCCCTAAATCTATAATTTAATAGCAACTATCAAATTTTGCATAAAGCTTTATTTTACAGGTTTGTAATTTAAATCCGATACGTTTCATGAATGTAATTTGATGTATTATAGAGGAATGTCTTCCAAAGAACTGTTTAATTTAAACCCAAATATATATTAATTAGCTATCCATCTATTATTGGTAACCATATTCCTTCTTATTAATGGGCTTGCTTGTTGATACATTTTAAACTTTGCATCTTCAGCTCACCTGAAACTTCTTTTTTTATGATTAGTATACATTTATTTCATTCTTGGACATTTTTTGAAGAAATGATTCTGAAATTGCGCATCCCTAATACAAAGCGTTATCAAATTCAGTTATGGATAAAATCCACAAATTCTACTATACATGTTCTATTTAATATCAATATGTATTGTGATATAGTCCAAAAGTTTATACTGCATGCAAAAACCAAGCAGTTTTTTTGCATGCAGTATAAACGTGTTATTTCCCCCTATTTTAAAAAGCGCTCGCCGTCCAATCGCCTAAAAAAGGCAATTCTCGCAGAAATGTCAAAAGTTTTTAAAACCAAATCGCAGCATGAATTGTTCTTTGGTGTTCCTCAAGGTCTCGGTGTCTTATTGTGATATTTTGGAGAGTTTTTTGAGCATTTCTATCAATTCTCCAGTGGTAAAAAAATGGTTTCTTGGATGCTTGGAAAATAACTTCTACAAAGAATCAACTGTCAGAACAGCTGCCGATTCATTTTTCTATTAATCAACTAATTGATTGATCGACTAATCGTAGAGGCTCCAATCAAAACACATTTTAATGCATAACATTGAAGTAAAGATTCAAGAAGTGCGCGTCCTTCTGTAAAACCTCCACCTTATCACAAACCGCTGCGATGATGTTGGCAGATCATATTAGTGTTATGTTGATGTGTCACGACTTTAGTCTAAATGTCAGTACAAAAACGTATTGTTGAAGGACTAAGCACAGATTTCTACTTGTAATGCTCCAGGTTCTTTTGGGCTCTCTTCCTTCATGTAGTCTTCTGCTACTTCAAACACTTCTGCCACTAAATTTCATTTAGCACCAAATCTGTGAAACAAATCGTATCAACCCAAAAATAGATGCGACGACTTATGAGACATAATAGAGGCCGACATATATACTTACCTTATACACTTTCATAGTTTAACTTTTATCCATTAATTCATTATTTTTTCATATTTATGACTAGAAGAACGTGACACACAGTGTTGATGTCAAATTAGTCTTCAGGTGTCCAGATTTCAGAGGATGTACAGCACCTTTAGTCTCCACAGTATATATCGTCACAGCGCCCAGCCCTGTTGATAAATGTCTGGTTAAATAGGTGCTGCTAAATCAATCAGCAGAATGTGTTTGAAATATTCCTCTTTCGTGAAGCACAGCGTCGGCTTGGGTTTGTTTTTTCTCGTGACCTCACAGACGGTTCTTATTTCAGTCCATTCTTCTAGCTTTTGGCATCCCCCGCCCCCCCCTCTGTGGCATCTCATCCCTCTCGTCCTTTCCTTTCTTTCAGCTTCTCTGAGCCCTCCACTGTCTGACGTCTTGTAAACATCGTCACACCCGGGTCACCTGAGTCACCCTCAGTCTCACGTACGACTGCAATTTTAGCCACATCCTGTCTCGCCCTTACCCTTCATTAGTATCATCTGGGTCCACTCGAGGCCCTCAGTGCAAATCAAGCCTTTTTACATGTTAATAAATGCAAAACAAGTGTAACCATGGCCTCTTGTCTTGTTTTCCTGTTCCTCTTTTATTATCTAGAATGGCAACCCTGACGGGGACAAGCCCCCTTGTAACTCTCAGGAGCTGGAGGACTGTGATGGGTTCCCAGAAGACGGCTCCAGTCTCACACACTTTGACGGAGAATCACTCAAGCCCACTCAGGTGGTGAGTATCGTCTCTCTCCTTCACTAGCAAACAATTTAATGCTCCAATCCTTTCGAGCCTTCATATTGAAAATGTTCACTCATTTCTGTCGGCTCCTTCCAACCTTCATTCCTCTCACGTAGACGGTCGGCTGATGCTCACCGCCTTTATAAGAGCACGTTCTTATTCAGCCCTGCCCCCGGTGAGCAAGCCAGCTCGGCCGTGCCTTTTAACAAGCCACTTGACCAGAGAGCTCTGCAAAGAAGAAACAGACACACCCGCTTCATTTCCCCCCTTGTGACTCGAATACAGCAAGAAGCTGGACCATTGTAGCCGATATCTATTTTTATAAATGCTCATTATGAGAATGTATTTGTCAGGGTACAACATGCCACTTGGCAGGTAGGTTAGAGAGGCTGTTCTCTCATCAAAAAGTCATGTGTTCCAATCAATTACCAAAACTCGGAGGAGTAGCTTGTCACTAAAACGAGAATAGCTAAAGTGAGCCTGGGCCAAAGTTGTCCCCTTTAAGGTTCAAGGTTGTGTTTTCTTGTCTCTGTACAACAGGGTTGCGCAACGGAACTTGGCTAAGGGACTTTTACCTTGTAAAGTTTCCTCAAGAAATACAGACTTATGTGTGATGACCATGTCAGTTTGTTTGTGATGCTGATTCCCAGGAGCTTAGAACTGTTCCCTTGCTGCGCCGCAACTCCATTGATGTAGACAGGGGTGTGTCTTCACCTCCTTTCTTGGCTTTACTGACGTTGAGCAGTAGGTTGTCCTCTGACCACCACTCTGCAAGATTGTTGATTTCCTATATGAAGTCTCGTCGTCGTTCGTCATCCGGCCGATGACGCAAGTGTTCTCTACAAAAGTCACACTTTAATCTGCAGGTGGCTAGTAAGACACAGGAACTTAGCTTGAAGAAAAAATGTGATATCAGCATTATGCATTGGCCATCGGCTGCCCTGAGTGCTAAATATCTGCATTGGTCATTGAGAAACACACTAAATTACCACTAAACACAAAGTACAGCTGAGGCTGTTTGGGAATTTTAAAGGTATTTCAGACAAGATAAGATAATACTTTATTGATCCCAAAGGGGAAATTCACTAATTCACATTTAAGATGCTGACCTGCCACCTGATCATGGCTCCAGAGAATTCAGGGATCACCAGGGAAGAGATGTTTTTATAATTCATCCTCAGGGGAACATGAGTCACCGTCCCAAATTTCATGGCAATCCGTCCAATAGACATTTTACTCAAAACCACAAATGTGAACCTCATGATGGCGCTAGATGAAAAGTCATTGGATCAGCATCCTCTGGACACCGTGGATATCTAAATCAAAAAAGGGAACCCGTCCCTTATTTGTTGAGATATTTCAGTCTCGACCAAAGTGGTGGATGGACTAACAGACATGGTCATCGTTAGATTCACGCTGCTAGCACGGTTAAAAAGAACATACTATCTGAAGGAAAAACAGAGGATGTTGTCCGGTTTGAGTTAAGAATGGGTTCGTTCGTGTGTGTTTTTGTGAAATGGACATATTCTCAAGGAAGCAGATAGAGGACTTGTCTTTTCCATTATGAAACGAGGCGCAAGTTGAATGAGACTCTTGTTTTTATCAGCAGTAGCCTTCAGTCGGAGCTGTGCTATGAAGGAGCTTTGCGGGCATTAAATCTGGAATGCTGCACAGTGAAGCCTTGTATTATTTGTCATTTTATAACTTGTCTGAACAAATTGTCCTTCTCTTCCATTATTTGTCCCAGGGTGACAAACAAGTGTCGCATGTTGCAGTCTTTCTTGAACACAAGGTGATCTATTTTAGTTTAGAGAAAACAGGCTCACGGTTGATAAGGAAAACATGGATTAATAGTTCCTTTGACTTTAAAATTTAGTGTTTCACTCATATTCCTACTGAGAAAATGACATCAAATAAGTACAATATGTCTATCGATGTCCTCCGCACCCGGGGCAGCGCGCACGCACACACACACACACTCTCTACACACAATAGACGGAGCTATTTGTCTGAGAATAACTAACAATGATTAATAATTAATGTCGATGCATAATGAATAATGTGGAATTACTTTGACTTTTTTCATATACTATTCAAGGTTTTTGGCATAAAGCATATATTCTAAAGAATAGCTATGCATTTGAGTCCTGATTTGAATGCCGATAACCATGGCAACAGTCCAAGCCTTTGTAATGGCGTCATCATTTTTTCAAACGATACCCAGCCCTCATGTGAACGCATATGTTCTACTGACTAGAATCTAGTCAGTTTACATTTACAGATACAAGTCACATTAGATTCATGAGTCTCTTGACTTCATACGAGACACATGTTCCCTGCCAACCGTGTGATATACGAGCGGCCGATTAAAGGCCCAGGAGCAGATTTATAGATGCAGATCACATGTATGTGTGCATTGGGTTTTATGAGTTACGCAACTTGACATTTGTTTGTGAATACTTATGCTACTGTGTTAACACCATAGAAACCCTGGAATGAGCAAAAGCAAATGTTTTTTTTCTTTTCTTTTGGCACAGCAGATGTGTAGCAGTTTGAAAAAGCTCTATTCATTTGTGGATATTAGTGTATGTCCATCACTGATGCCCCTCTCTCAGTTCCTCTTGTTTCAGTTGCATAAAATGATTTACGGTTAACAATTCCCCAATGGCGAAAACTCTCACAGCAGTCAGAAATAAACCCTTTCAGTCTGTAATGAAAGGCTAATGTGTATTGAATATAAGGTGCAGTGTTTCTGCCCGGGCTGGGATGAAGGGCTTGTGTGAATACAATGTTTCTCTCTCCATTTACTCTTCAAATAGTGCAGCCAGGCAAGCTGCTGCCCTTAAATATGGTGGATTGCAATGACATGTGTGTGTTGGACTGTGTTTATCCGTATCTCACCCAGGGAGCCTTACCTTTTCTATTCACCTCTTCCCTCCCTCATTGTATCAGCCTTAATGCTTCAGTCGCTCGTCTGCCCACCAGGACATACGCTGACCTTTTATTTTATTTCTATTTTTTTATATAGAGCCTTTCAGCTTGAAATTGTGGCACCTTTGTAGATGTGCCTCTCTTTGTTTCTGATTGCGGTGGAAAAGACTGAGAATGTTTTCTTTATGTGCGTTCCCTAGAAGGAGCCTGAATCATATCCGCTCGGCGTATCTGTAACACCTTTCACAATGGAGGCTATCTGACCATCTGGTGACTGTATTTAGTGCAGGCTTTGACGCTTTCTTTCAAAAACAAGATTTAGGAAACTTTGAAAATGTACAGTTTCCTACAATCACTGATAACACCATAGAAACACAAATAATGGCGATATTGTATGTTGAAAAGCAGAAAATGCAGGTATTACTTGAAATGATGTGTGTTAGGGCCCCTTTCTTTAACTATTTACAGCCACTCTAGCGGCGTCAATCGAGGGACCTAAATGGCGGTCCGTCACTTTGGTCCGGACTGACTTATCAATAACTATTGAATGAGTTGCCAGTGTTTCCCACAGGGTTTTGTGAGACAATAGCGGGTGGACCTCAGGCCCCTGGAAGAAATATGTGTACATTTTAAAGGCTAGATATATGAAGAACGTTGTGCACTTGTAAAGGATTTAGTACTCTTGTTTCAGCAGCGGCGGAATACAACTAAGTACATTTACTCAAGTACTGCATCTAAGGACAATATTGATGTGCTTGTAGCCTTTACAGAGCGTTCAAAATTTATGCTACTTTGTACTCCTACTCCACCACACCTCAGAGGGAAAGGTTGTACTTTAACTGTATTACTTTTATTTGATTATATTAGGTACTAGTTAGGCTACTTTCCAGATTTATATTTAATTCAAAATATAAATTGACTGAACTTTGGTGCAGACAGTCCCTCCCCCCCCAAAAAAACTTTACTTTGGTGATCCTCTGACTTTTTATCTGGCATCCTTAAATTAAATCAAAGTAAATTTTCTGCGTTTTGTCTTGTGACCAAAAACATGCAAATCTAATGACACTCCAATCAGCCTCTGCTGTACTTTGTGTCTAGTGTTGTTTTTAGCACGCTAACACAATAAGCTATGATCATGGTAATTATTACCTGCTCAAAATCAGCATGTCACTGTTGTCATTGTCAGCATGTTGGCATGCTGCCGTTAGCTTTTAGCTCAAAGTAACGCTAGTAAGTGCTGCCGGACTTTCACTAATAATTCTAACGTGTGAAGATTAAAAACATAACGTGACGCTTGTCTCTTTCATGGCGTCGGCGCTGTCGACCAGGACAGGTGTGACTCCACAAGCCAATCAGCAGAGCCGGGCGGCATCTCTGAACACTTCTCAGCTTTTTCTCTAAAGTACAGAATGATGCTTTGAAATAATCTGGTTTCTTCCCTTTTGATTCAAGAGAGAGACATGAATGAAATGTGATATCCAAGAGACATCAAGGGACGAGGGAAAGTAATTTATTTTGTATCAATGATCACCTACTATCCTGAATGATATTTGTTCAGTGTCTCGGGCAGTAGGAAGGCTAAATAAAGAACGATTGGTCCTCTGGCTGTGAAGGCGAGTGAGCAGCAGCCTTACAGGAACATGACGGAAGCAATGGTGATGACAGATAGTTGGCATTTCAGCCGTCATTACAGACATCTGGCCTCTGTTTACAGATACATTTGCTTTTAGTGCCAACCTCTCACTTCCTGCACTCCAAACATGAACCCTCTGACAAAAAGAAAAGAGCATTCACCAGAAGCTTGCTTCAGACTGAGGACAGGCAATTCATTCTGAGCATTTGTCCATAGAGAGTCCAACTGTAGTACTTCACACATCACTCATGCAACCCATACAACAATAAAATGTATAGTATCTTGACAAAACAATTCTCAGCAGATGATTTTAACCACATCTCGTGGCCATAGAATTTAGTGTGATAAATAGGGTTGTTCCTAACGTCTAATTTTCCTGAAGTTTAAAAAGAAGTTAAACTAAAAGTAATAAAACGATCACAAAACTGTCAAAAATTGAGCACAATTTAATCTCCAAGATTAAACATCGTCCCAAAAAATTTTCAACAACCAAATCGTATTTTAAATGCAGTTGAAATCGCCTCCATTAGCACAGTTAGCAGTGCTCCTCACAAACCCAGTGTGTGGTGTGATATTTGATGAAACGGCATCGAGGGACGATAGCGTCCCGCTGCAGACACGTTTCGGTGTCGCTTAAACAATTGGTATCCTAGCGTGCAAATTTGAGTCGTTGGGCTAGCTGGTGTTTGCCCGCTTCACTAGGTCGCTAGCCTTATTACGTAACATACTTGCTGGCTAGTTTGAGTCGGTATGCTGCAGCTGATGAGTTCAGATCAGGGGAGACAGCCGAGACAGCATTTGTCAATATGTAGTTTAAATTTGGACATAATACAATAATAATCAGTTTAACAGACTAGTATTTCTGGTGGAGACTAGCGATGGTAGCAACCTTTAGACGTTAGAGTGATGGGGAGCCTTGCCCAAGGGCACCTGGGCAGTACCCTGGAGGTGGTCCACACGTACTGGTCCGTACTGTCCACCCAAATAGTTAGCTTCTGCCAATTTAAGACAATGTCTCAGCTCACAAAATAAAACATGTTTTCTAAAAAGGGGACTTGTATAAGAGATACACTACAGTACTATATTAATTGCAAATCAAGTAACTATACACAAAGATATTACAATTGACTCGAGCAAACTATGTGCTTGAAGGAGCTAAAACGGAAAATGTGTTCACCCCATTCTGTTTCTGCCATGTCGATGCATTACAAACATTTAACAGTCTTTCAGTACGCAGGGGAAACACCTGAGAGGGTTCTCACTGTGGCCGGGTCATCAAATCCGACCAATCCAGCTGCTCCTTTTATTCAATAGCATATCTCGGTTTCGCAGGTAACACAGGAATTAGCATGACGTTAGAGTCTTGAATCGGAGAGTTTAATCCGCTGCTTTGTTCTGCTGCTGGCAGTGAAATCCTCCTCATTCAACAACGGCTTTGTAAAAGAAACAACGGCAGAGCAGAAGAGAAGTTTCTTTTATGTTCATCTTGTTTGACTCCGATTAAGGTTTTATCGAGGTTTAGATTCTTCTGATTCTCTTTGTGTTTAAGAGGCTGTTGGGAAAAGGTTTGCTCTAAAAGAATGAGTTAAAGGCTTCATGATTGGATTTATTTATTTTTGAGAATGTGACCGTTAGCAAGCAGCAGAAGATCAGAGGAAATAGTTTCCATTTTCCAGGACCCAGACCAGGCAGAGGTAGATTATTATATTAGTCATTCAATAACAATGCTCAGTCACTGGCTTTAAATGTCTTTTGAGTCGGAGAAGGAAAACTAAAGAAGTGTGTTTGAGCATCTAGTTTTTTTTTATCTGGCTAATGTGGCAGAGAGTTAGGTCTGCTGCCAAAAGTTCTCAAATATTTGTATCAAACAATAACTGGAGTACATAGCCACACCCACTCTCGCATCAATATCGATGGGTAAGAGCTGAAAACGTTATGTTTCAGTGCTAGATATTGGCTGAGATGTAACTCGATTTTCTGAGGGTATGAAAGCTCATCCATACGATTGTGTCTTTTCATTACATCGGAGACTGTGTGTGTCAAGTAGATCATAACACTCACGGTTCTTATCACAGGTCAGAGTCACGGATTAGATCAGCACAACCGAAAAGGGAGAAAATAAAACATCCCTGATCATCATTGATGATCCTTATTGTTGTTTGATTATAGCAGCTGGTCTACACGGCTCCATCCTAAAAATCATTTTAATCGCTTTGTCTGCAAACCATAAAAAATTCTAAATGTTGTCCTTTAACTTTACAAATCTTGTCATTAGTAGTTTTAATGATGTATTATAAGCTGCTTGGAGCTCATAAATCATCTCTAATATATATTTATGTTGTTGTGAAAACATCTCCTTCAAACATCTGGATTTGTTCAAGTTTCTCACCAAAACTACATTTTATGAGTGAACACATCATGATAACGTTATAATTTACCTTTGCCCAGTACTCATTTTCACTGAACGGAGCCTGAATGCATCATAATGTAACTGAACGGAACCGTGGTCCCTGTCCTGTCAACAGATGGTTGTTTTCAATGAAACATTATCAGAGATCGGCAACTAGAAAATAATACATCATGTCCTGATTACATATTTTACTGAATATTGGCGGATAATGATCGTCAGTAAAACTATATTTCACACTGTGATGGTTAACGTTACATTGTGTAGTTAACCCGCGGTGATCTGTACGGATCAACCGGGCTCTGACTCTGACTTATTGTTGGATAAAATAACACAATATTTAGTTTTAAAATGTCATTGAGCTTTTATGCGTTTGTGTGAAATTAGATTTTTCGTGTCGAAGAATTGCGACGCTCGTGGTGAGTTTAGTTTTTGTGTATATGTGCTTTCAGACATTTCTTTTCAGCGTTTCAGCTTCGGCTCCGTGGGGAGGATTTTTATTTATTTTTAATATTTGGAATGTCAACCTGAAAATATAAAGCCAATGGGTTTGAGCATCAGGGTAAAGTAACTAAATCAATGCATTATGCAATGCATTATAACCCCCCCCCCCCACATGAGAAACAAGTGTGAGTGTAGGTATTGTTTTGTGCGGCACAGTAAGACCTCATGGCGGTAGATCACCGTTTTAATTTAAACTACTTTCCACCACACCTGCAACCAATTGTTGTTTTGTCTTTTTTTTGTCTGACCAACAGTCCAAAAGCCAAAGTTTCAGTTAACTATCATAGAAGACTTTTTATTTTTTAACAACAAATATTGAGATTTGAGAAGCTGAAATCAGGATTAATTGATAATCAAACTAATTACATTTGTGTTGATCGACTAATCAATTAACTGGGAGATTGTTTCCTGAGGGGCGTGTTGCTGTTGAGTCTCTCTTTTTTATCGTTGCTCTGAGGAGCACAAATGAAACACAATTGGTAACATGGTATTGCTGTGGTTGCAAATGTTAGATCTCAAGGTCTTGACCCTCCTCCATGTAACGTGTAACAACAATAAACAACTCTCAATGTGGGAGCTGTGCTCCATGGAGGGCTGACCGTTTTTTACATTATTCTTACATAAGTTGATTGCCATAGCTGATTGATTAGCATGTCCTAGTGCGGAGAGTCATTGAATCATTGAAGTACACACACTTTGCCCTCCACGACGCATACAATCTTCTGATTTTATTCCTTTGTATTATTTAATTTTTTTTTGTGTGTGGTTTCTTTTTATGTCTCACAAATCATGACCCGGTCGGTTTACTGTCAGTCCACTCTCTCACACCCGCAGGCCGGACTAAAGCATGAGCGAACGTATGTCGCGTGTTCAAAATCAAAGTGGCACGAAAATGAGTTTTTAGAGTGGAGGAGTGATGGCTTGCTAGAAAGGCTTGTCACTGTGCGCAACCATCAACCAGCAAAATACGTGCTGGTTGATGCTGAATTTTCAATGCCTGTCAAGTGTGTATTGAGTCGGGGACGGCGCCGGGTGACAGGCTCTGAGACACGTTTGGCAGTCGTATTCACAGGATGTGGGTTGACTCCGAGTGAGGGATCGGTGAGAGCCGTCAGATGTCGAGGGGCGATTATGTCACAGCGCCGGTCAGTTTCTCTCCAAAACAATTGGAGTCGAACAGGAATAGCTTGGAACCACACCTGTGCAATTACGTCAAGCACATCCATCAGAGCGGAGTGAATGTTGGGCAAATACATGGACTTGTATGGCTGCTATCACAAACTACTCAGTACACTCTTTCACACATAATGATCCACGCTGAATTTCAACATCTGCCTCAAACCGTCACCACAATCTCTCCATTTAATCATACTGGTTACCATGTGGGATGAAACATGTAGAGAAACGAACTAGTTGTTTTTTTATTAGTCAATCTACGAGCAAAATATGTGGTATCACTCACAGGGAGATTTAAATGTATTTACAAAATGTATCAAAGGTTAAGGAAGTAAAGATTAAAAGAAAGAAGGGAGGGATAAAGGAAGGAAACAAACAGACAGAATGAAAGAAGGAAGGAAGAAGACAAAGCCGTGAAGAGAAAAGGAAGGAAGGAAGGATACAAACAAAGACAGTAGGAAGGAAAAAAAGAAATAAAGAAGAAAAGGTAGTAAACAAAAAAGGGAAAGAAGGAAACAAAGACAGAAGGAAGAAAGTAATGAACGAAAGGTAGTAAATAAAGAATTAAAGGAAGGAAGGAAACAAAAAATACAGAAGGAAGGAATGGAAAAAGAAGAAGGAAAGGAAAGAAGCAAACAAACAAGGAAAGATGGAAAGAAGTAAGGAAATATAGAAGGTGGGAAAGGATGAAAGGAAGGAAAATAAAAATGGATGGCAAACCAATTTGTGTGCGGTCACACAATAGGTCACATAAAAAAATGAAGAAATCGTCACTAATTTGTAAACTGTGTGTCTCCAGGTGAATCTGGGCAGCCATCAGTACCTGTTCACCGTGGACGTGGACCCCTCTGCAATGCCGTGTTTCTGCCTCAGACACGACGTGGACGCTCTAGTGTGGCAGCCTCGCCCCGACCAACCCAGTGACATGTGGGAGCACGTCGCCACGTTCAACGCCTTGGGTAAGAGCTTCTACTAAAAACCACCTGTTCTGATGCCTCCACTTAGGCATCTTTACGTTGTATCTGCAGCAACAACCCTGAAGTATAGATTATACCTTTTAGACCTAACGTGTGCGATGTTCAGGAGGTACAAACATGGTATGGCATTGAGAAGATGAAGCCCAAAAAAAGCGAGGACATCACAAGTCACAACAGTTGTCTCGCTGCAGTGGATCTAGATGTAATTAAGCTGTGAGCCATGTTATGTTTTGTCACCTTTGTTAAGGTCCCTCTTAGTGTATTCATGCTGACATTAGAAGTACTTTTCACCGTAGCACAATATACTTAGGAAACGTATTCACTGCTTTTCTTACCTCAAAAAATGGCAAAATATTGATGTTAAACCTACAGTGTTTGCATCCGTGTGTAGTCATCTTCTATAGTCTGACTTGCTATACAGCTTCATTTTTAATACACACGATAAGTAGCTGCAACACCACACACCTTGTCTGACACCATTAGTGCAAAATTGTGTATTTTTTGTCTATTCAAATTCAAAATGCTTAAAAGGTTTAAACTGTTGGCAAAGGTATTCCATCACTCCGGCTTTAGGTGTGCTGTCAAATACCTCGGTGAAGTTTGATCAAACATTTGGCAGAATAGAAAATGTTGTGCATACCGTACAAATCACAGTAAGACACTGAATAGTAGTATTTGGTAGTATTTGAATGAAGGCTTGTGGAGATATGTTAATTTGTTAAGCATATTTTAGAAATATAGAGTGATGGACTTCTGAATGGACCATAGCTTCCGGTGAGGCAAACTTTTGTTACAGTTCAGTGGATGTATAGAAATGGAGTTTTCTTGCAATAAGTCCCGCCCACTTTAATCAATCATTACCAAATTCAATGCATCGCCTGAGTCACTTGTAAACTTGATTGTTACAGCGCCACCTTGAGCTCAATGAGTGCCATTTATTAGTGGGTGGAATTTGCAACCCACCTACCACTTTTAGCAAACAAAAATATGAAAGAAGAAGAAAACGGGAACAAAAACAACAAGGCGTCAAATAAAGCCAGTAAGGGGCATCCAGGGTTTATCATCTCTGAACTATAAAGATATTAATAAAACTCTTGTATTTTGCGATCCCTGCGATTATCAGTGAGATGCCACAAAGGACTGTCAAACACGAGTCTAGCAGCTAAAATCTTCTTCTGAAATCAGAAGAAAGTCGTAAAGCTGTAAAACCCGCCTCTTGCCTGATTTGATTGGGCGACTGGGCCAAGTGTGACATCGGCGAGCGGTGCGACTCGGCGCCTGGCGCTGAAAAGATGAGAATGTGTTTTAATTCTATGCATGTCTAATGTTACATTACTGTGGGAGGGGTTTAAAGACAGACAGGCTCAGTGGAGGCCTCTTTTAATTTCCATTTCTGATGAACCATCATAACTGGAGTTGAATTATTCATTCTCACAGCTGTTAGCTTTGTTTACATCCGCCGTCATGCTGCTGAGGTGCAGCAGTGGGTGGACGACAGAACGGCTTAAACGGCGGCAGTAAAACTGCAGTAAGCTACAACAGTGACTTCACTGACGCTTAGAGAAACATATGGAAACTGGATCACTTCTGCATATAAAGAGGTCTGGATTATAAAAACTTCACTGGTTTGTATTGTGCCTCTTAGCCAAGACACTGACGCATGTGTTTAGACCATTAGCGCCTTTCTAGAGAAGGTCTCTTTCGATCTCCGTCTTCATTTCATTTATCCACTCGTCTATCTCTCCTCAACCACAGCACCTAGAACAGGTTTTATTTCAATTTTTGCTGCTTTGACAGGTACGACGTCCTCATTTCTCTTTTTGAACACTGCAGAGTTTTACCAATCTGCACATCTCTGTTTGGAATCCACCCAGTTTGAGGTTGCAGACGGATCCCCAGTGATACTTACTTACCAAAGCTCAGTGAAACCTGAGCGGAGAAACGCGCGCTTTTTAAACATCAAAATCAGGCTTGTTGAGGTGCAATATATGTTTTCACATAAGTGAAATTGAATCATCATTTAGTGGATCACTCAAGTTTGGATATTCTTGCATAGAAAATATATGGTCTGCACTGTTGCAACTAATGTTAGGTCTGTGTATATAAAGCTCAGGTGGTGTATTTCAGAATAAAACATGTTTTTAGAGAAAAGGTTATGTAGCATAATAATGAGTTTGGTATTGGTCGAGCTGGTCGAAGCTCCATCAGGCAACAGTACTTTATAAAACTAGTCATTTCATGCTAAATGACAACGTTGAGCAGCAGTATTGTTATCGAAACAATCTGGTGCCAGATGGAAATCTCAGCACACAGGAAGTAGCTAATCAGATTTTAAGAGCGAAAGATAATTTGTTTTTCCAGCAGCGACGGAGACCTCCGTCAAACAAAAGCTCAGGTCAGCGGCATGGGGTCTAGTGGTTTGATGAGCAGGCTGTGTGCACTCTACTGAGTTTTACATGCCTTGACCTGAAGAGCTGAACAAAAGGACTGAAAAGGCGATGTCAGCGTGGCTGGTTTTAATGTGATTTGTATTGGTTTGATTGTCCAGAGCCGAGGTGAGGTCGTCAAATTACTGGTTTTGCCCGTTCGGTCAAAAACCCAGATTTTACACCGATATAGAATAATCTACCAGTCCTCACATTTGAGGAACTGGAACCAGCAAACGAATCAATTATCAACACTGTTGTTGATTCAGTTTCTCTCCATCAACTAATTGAATCATCATCTAATTGTTTTAGCGCTAATTATTTTTGCTGTATTGATATGTTACATCGATGGAGTTCTTTTCAGTACAAACACACATCCTGTCTTTCTCCATTTTGCGCTGAGAAACGGTGAAGTTTTACCGGTGTGGCGAGCAAGTCTCATTTGATTGGATGACTTATTTGTAAACAGTTCAGGGTTGGTCATATTTCTGGTATTTAACAAGAGATAACAAAAGAGCAATTAACACATGGACACAGGATTAAAACTGGGAAATGTATTTTTCATTTCACTGTGTCTTTAAGACCTTTTCTTATTTTTTATTAAGCTTTTTAATACTTCAAATCTTCTCTTCCCTGTGCTCCAAAAACAGGAGAAATGATTCTGTCAGCACGGTATCCCTTCTGTTTGTACTTTAAACACACAATCATCTCTAAACCGCAGAGACGGGGCTGTGGGGCCCTAAAGGCTACAGAAGTTAGTTTCTTACTGGGAGCTTCATCCAGTTCCATTCCAACTTCAGTCCTGAGTCTGGCAGGATAAATCTAGGTGGCAGCGTCCTTAAGCAAGTCCTTAGACCCCAACAAGGAATAAATTCATTGTTTACTAATCGTACGCATACCTGATCAATCTTTTATTCCCTTGGGAGCAGGTGGACACACATGGCGAAAAAACGTGGTGCTACTCAACCAAGACTCTTAAAAAATACCATATTTGCAGAAAGATATTCAATATATTATTTTATATATTTTTTTGGTTAATATGTTCAAAAAAGTGGCAGGAAAAAAGTCAGGAAATGAATTCAGGAGCGAAACCAGGTGGAAAGTGTCTCTACGACGTCTTTACTGCAGAAACAAACAAGAGCGCGACAGGAGAGAGTAGGTCTGTGACCGATAGACCAGCTACACTTGATGCCTTTTATGTTTTATTTGATGTTTTTACAGTTATATAATCAGGGTAGTTTTAATATTCGGGCCAGAATGCTACATTTCTTCTACAAACGATTACTCCATCTGGATTCTTAACCCTGGCGGCTGTAGAGGAACTACATTATTACTCTATTACTACTTTACCAGTGTGAGTGTGAGCCTGTCTCTGATCTCACCATCCTATCTTCCACAGGCTACGTCCAGGCGTCCAAACGGGATAAAAAGTTTGCGACCTGCGCCCCGAACTTCTCCTACGCCACGCTGGGCGAGTGTCTCCGCCGGGCCTTCATCTACCGACAGCCGGCGCCGGTGGAGACTGTCCTCTTCAACCGGAAGCAGGGCCGCCAGGTGGGACAGGTCGCCAAGCAGCAGGTGGCTAGCCTGGACTCGGATAAGCCGATCCTGGGCTTCAGAGCAACCAACGAGAGGCTGTATGCCCTGACCTCCGGCCACCTCTTTGTTCTAAAGGTCAACAATAACTAGATTTGGGACTCTTGTTAGTTTTAAATGTTCACCCCCCCCTCAGAAGATCTGTCGTCTGCTACATCTTTATTTCTTTTAATTCGTCATGTGTACATTTGAGCTGTCTGTAATGAAGTTTTTTTTTTTTCACCTCCTACAAGTCGTCTGTGTTCCAAAATGTGTGTGACCCAAAAAGTAAAGACTCGTGTTCTGAAAGACAAATCATAGTAATAAACTAGAGCTGAATCTTTCCAGGGTAAGAAAATGATTCTTATGAGTAAATAATCATCGTTTCCTTGAGTGCTTAAATTCAGCGAGTGCCAAATGAATCTCATGTGATGAAACTGGACGTTTCAAAAATCGAAATGTCACATATGCGGTGCCCCGTTAATGCTCACTGTATTATTACTGCGTTATGTGTAACGCCGTGAATTCCAACTCGCCGAGGAAATCCCTCTCCTTGGCTCGTTTTACCACTGTCACTGTGAAAGTATGAGACATTCATTTCCATAAATTTCCATAAAACATGTTGCACCCATCAAGCTCGGCTCATTAGCCTCAATCTCAGACGGACTTGGAGCCTAAAATCTCAGGAGGCCTAAAGATTCAAACGTGTCTGATAGCTTTTCTTTTTGGTGGAGGTGAAATGCTGCACTTCTCATACATGCTTGGAGTAGTTGTTTCCACTGTAGAGGACGTCTGATACGTTAATCCTCTGTGATATTAAACTAACGTACGTGTGACTTTTTAGAAGCAGATAGGGGAAGAACGCCCCCCCACCACCCCCCAGTCCACAAACATCTCTGCCTCGCTTGTTCTTCAGTGACATTCTCATCCAATCAATCGACTAGATAGGAAAAGATTCAAGAGAGACACTAATGGACTTGGAAAGTTATGGAAAAAAGATGGTCCACTTCTGCTCTTAGAAAAATATGTTCTTTGATTGCAACCCAGGACAAAGGCGAGAGAGACACAAGACTGGGGACGAGCGTCTTCGCAGGATTACATTTCGGAAAAGGCAAGTGGCTTCAACACGCCAGAGCGAGAAACGGATCCATAGCTGTGTCTTTTCATGTGCGGCTGGAGGCAACAACCTGCGTTCACTGTCTGGTAAAAAGCTGCTCATCTTCAGAAATGATAGAACTGCTCCGACCAATTTATTGATCAAGCTTGAAATTGCCAGTGTTGCGTGAACTGGAACAACCAAGGAACCGTGGATCAATTGTCTTCATCGGGGCGGGCAATTTTCTGAAGACGATCCGCCATTTGTGTCCTCGGCCCCCGAGGGTTTCTGTAATCACCCTTTTCTTCTTTCTCTCTTATTGTATTGCTCAAGAAAATCCTTTTTACTCTCTGTTTTTATTTAATTATTGCTACGTAATTAAATTAGACTCCACCGCTTGCTTTGACTAGCTGGCCTGTCAGAACCGCTCACGTCTCCGAGGACGGCCTCTCTTTACTCGGACACACAGAACAAGAGTATCGAGCCATCTGACCGCGGAGAACGGAGTAATGGAAGACGCTCGCCGCCTGCGTTTCCTCAAACCTCCGTATTGCCGGTTTCAGGTCAACACCACATGCCTTTTTGAAAGAGGGCTCTTTGAGGACTTAATTAAGAGTGTTTGCAAGATTGACAGCCAATCCCTCAGAGTGAGTCTCGTTGGCTGCAGGGTCAGGAGACCTGATCTGGCTCTAAATTAAAATCATCTTTCCTGGGACGACGTCGACGTGCAGCCGGCTCCTGTTTCACCGCCCGCGTTTGAGTTTTCAATAACGCCGTGTAATGCAGAATAAGATACTGTAACTGAGGCATGAATCATAATCCGATAAGGAAGATAGGAGGCTTAATGCAGCTCGCAAAGGTAACCTGAGTCACGTCACATTTGATGAAAATTTGATGAAATTGAATTTATTTAGTTTTATAAATGAGTTTATTACAGTTAGATGTCTCCCACTTGTTGCTTATTTTCAAGCACATTGCAAAAAATATCTGGTCGAGCAGTTTGCCGAGCAGAGTGTGTATTCTCTGCAGTACAGACGGTTTGTTGGCAGAGAGCGAGAGAGGGAAGTGTTGTCTGAGCAGAGAATAGGACTCCGAAGGCTTAACAATAGCAGCCATATAGATACATTGGCACCAAGGGCCCCGTTGCCATGGCTCCCTGGTGGTCTAGTGCCTGGGCGGCCTGGGTTTGGTTCCTGTTAAGGAAACGCTGAGGCGACATGTGACGCCTCACATGCCAATTTTTGGACGGAGTGTTAATAGATTTGTGTAATTCTCATATTACACATATTTTTGTACATATTTTTGTACATTTTTGTACATTCTTCATGACAATCAGGAACTCTGAATGACGAGTGGCTCCTAGATGTTTAACCAGGGCTTCATCCAGCTGGGCTTTCAGGCCACATATCTCCCTCTGCATCAGTTCCTTCTCATATTGTTATCAACTAATTGCTTCCTACCAAATATCATTAGGGTCTTCTGCTGCAGCACCTTGTATTGATCCAGTTGTAGTAGGAATGCATTCGTTCAGTGATTAGGTTGTAAAGCACAAAGAACTGGTGTGGAGTCACCACAGTACGATGCCATGAGTGTGAGCAGGTTTGTACTATATAGCAGCCTTGCTGGGTTTTTGTGTCGGAACATGTAGATAATCATAACCTGGTTTCTGATGGGGATCCACTGATCCAACACCCCCGATCGGCTAAATACACAGTGTGGTGTACTGATATTGGAATTTGGTTAGAAAAAAAACAAAAAAGAATATGCTGGTATCCGATTGGTTCTCTGCATCAGCAAAGACCGTGAGTTGCAGAATCAGTACCAGGAGAGGAAAAGGTGATGTTTATGTAAACATCTTTTATCTTTACCCATGTTTCCCAATAGCGTCTGTCAGCGTGTGCCATCTTTAACATTCTTTAAGTTAAAGTTACTAGGAGGAAGTTTCATTTTGTGGTGTTTTGTATTGCGGTCGCTGTGGATGAAAGCGGTAGTGTTTCCGAGCACCAGAGTCCCTAAAGAAAACCTCTCATTTAACTGACGGCAGGGTCTGACGTTCAATCCTGGTTCTGGTTCTCGTGTGCGTCTCTTCCCTCCAGCGAGCCCAGCAATACTCTTCCCCCTCCATCCTCTAGTAGCAGAGAGAGTGCAGGGGCAGAATATGTTAGTCCAGTGTGCCTGACTCCCTGATCCTTCATCTGACTGAGGTTTGTGCGAGTTAGAATCTACGGCCCAGTGCTGATAAATCCACGGCGCTGTCAGTGGTGCTGAAGTAGCAGACTGTTTTTTTTCTGTGCAGTCCAGCCCTGCGTCCCGGGGCCTTGGAAAATTGGTTTGTGATTAAAGCGCACCTCCTCATGATGAACCTGCTTTTCTCTGCAGGTGTAATTGGCACCTTTTTTAAATGATTAAGCGATTAAAGCAAACAAACCCACACAGTTCTCCAGTCGGAGGATCGTGGAGACAAATCATTACTGAGTTGATTGCACATTCTTCGGTAATGAATAGAGATCCTCCCCGATGGGAGCGGTAGATGGAGGGAGAGTAATTAGGTGTTATGGATGGTATACCTGCATACCGTCTCTCCACAGGCGGTGAATGTTACGACACCGTGGAAAGTGGCAAACTCTCGAAACAAGGCAGATAAGACAGGCTTTCAAACAGCCTTCAGACAGATTTATGTTGCCAATGTTTGAATTCACTCAAATAATATATTGTTTGAGTGATTACAGAAGATTTATAGTTCACTGTCAACTTACACGAGGTGTGTATTGGAGCAATGTAGTTTTTAAGAGTTTAATTTTCCCAGGATTTTGAGTTTATTTGCTTTCTTGTTGAGAATTAGATGAGCGGATTGATGCCACTGGGGTTAATATTAGCTTAGCTTAGAGTAGTCAGTGGTACAAAGACTATAACCACAACGTGTCATTTTTACACTTCGTTCTTCTGTTTGTGCCAAACAAACGACATAAAACATGTGTAAGAAAGTGAGCTTTATAGGTGCTGGTAGGTGGATTTAGTTACTTCTGGACAGAAGCCTTTTCCCCCCACCTATATTCCAATCTTTATGCTAAGCTAACCAGCTGCTGGCGGTAACTTCACATTCGCTCTACAGACATGTGATATATTGATCTTCTTATCTAACTCTCAGCTAGCAGACAAATACGCATGTTCACCAAAATGTCAAACCACTTATTTAAGCAGTAAACTGGAGGAGTGAAAACAAAAGTTGTTTTTTTTAAACGTAGGTTCTGAAGAATTGTATTATCCATTTGTCTTCTAGCAGGACCTGTCACATTACACATTGTCTTTTGATCCATTGCTAATTTAAAAATATTGATTGTATCAGCTTTAGAGGATAAAGCTGGTGATATTCCGTCTCTTTCAAAGCTACAAAATACGTGATTTCATCTTCTCAAAATGAAAAGTATTTCGCTAAAAACACTGCGAACTGTAGTTTTTAGTCCCCAGGTTTGCAATGGAATATCTTCGTCTATGGATGAATCCACGTTTGGGGCTGTGGTGAGTATTTTTGGCAACAGGAGGGTGAAAGTATGATGGACTCAAAATAAACTCCAGTTCCCACAGTCATGGTAGTGAAGGATGGCATGTCACACAGTGTGTTACATAACAGGGTAACAGCACACATCGTTCTTGGTAGTGGGATGAATTAATTGTTTTTGGTCTTTTTCCCAACAAATGAACCAACACAGAATATTTCCAGTCTTATCCTTGAAATATACGCAGCATCATAAATCCTCAGTCGAGGGCTTTACAGCATTGTTTCGCTGCTCTAGCCGTATGAAATGAAAAAAGCTGTGGTTTAGGAGGGGAAAGTGACTCCTCTTTATACAGCCACTCACCTTTTCTTCCACATGTAATTATTCATAGAAGCTGAGGCTGCTCTCGTGTTGCAGTGGAACTGTAATTACGCCCCCCTCGTCTTTGTTGCTGTCTCCGTCATAACGAACATTACACTCCCGTTATCACAGAACATCCCTCTTTCTTTTTGTGCTGAAACGCTTTTATTTCAGAGTTAATGAGCCAGAAAGTGTCTTCACTCTACCTCTCTGCTTCTATCTGAATAACTGTTCCTCTCTGCTCATCCCTCCCTCGTTTTGTATCCACCTTGCCCTCTTGTACTCTATTTCTCTTTCAACTTCACTCTCCCTCCATCAGTTTCCACCTTTGCACCTCTTCTCTTTTGACACTTGATTTAGATAAGTTCAGACTACTTCATACCACAGCGAGGGTGCACTGTTGTTTAACTGCCAGAGGGGCAGTGATGTGATTCATCGAAATCAAGGGCTGCAGCCGGCAGACCATCTGCTAATTGTAGCCTGCCATAAATGAACATCATTTAAAGTGGTAATCTGCAGGTTTTTTGTTTTTATGATTTTGATTAATTACTGTGGTGTTTCTGCTCTGCAATTGCCAGCCAGAAATCCCCTGTCAATCACAATCAAACAGTGTTGGTGGCACAGCTGTGTCTTTTATAATCTTTGTGTGTGTGTGTGTGTGTGTGTGTGTGTGTGTGTGTTAAGTTAAAGTAAAGGAAGCCCCAACAGTGTCCTCAATGAACTCACTAAAGGTTTGTGTCTCTGGCTGTCTGTCTTTTCTCTGAGGTGTCTTATAGCCATACTCACCTCTGAATCTGGAGCCGACAGCAGACCACGCATCTCGGGGGCTGGCAACAAAACATTATTCACACTCCAGAGAAAACGCATGAAGCCTTTTGAAATTCCACTCGTGCAGTTTAGACCTGGCGACGGCTGTGAATTAGCAGTCAACTGAAACTGCTCCCAGGCTTTAGATGGTGCTCGGTAGAATTTGCATTTATTGGTGAGTAGTGCCGTGTTTATTCTCTTAGGGTTAATGTGGGAAGGGTCTCCATTTGAATGTCGATGAGTGTTCGTGGTACGTCTAATTTAAAGCAATGGATGGGAGCTGCGATTTACATGCAAAACATTGGTACACTTTAATTCGGTCAAAGGAGCTGTCGGTCAACTAAAACACTACATGAATATGGTTTGACGCCTCTGTTAAAAAAATGAATCTAAAAATAATAAAAGTACTACATTTTAGTGTTCACAGCCATGAGTGTATATATAGAATGACATTTATTATCTTTTTTATTTTGCTTTGCCAATTGAGCGGCACCGCAACAACCTGTCAACCCAACACTGACTTATTACCTTTGTGTTCGAAAACAGTCGCTGAATACTGAAGCAGCATCGGGTTGAATTTAACTTATTTAATTGAAAGAAGAAGAACATGTCATCTCTTTTGTTTCTCTTTAACGAAGTCTTACTTTGTCTTTGAGTCACTTTTACCCTCCAGTTCAACAAAAGAAGTATGGCTCTTGATGGCTGTTAGGACTCTTTTTTGATCCACTGAATGTCCAAGAAAGTCATTTGATTCCAGGAACTTGTCCTTTTTTAATCTTCTCCCTCCTGTTCTTTTGACTAAAGAGCATCCTGCCAAGTGTGGGTGGTGAGTGAGGAGATGTTATGAGCAGAAGGAACAATTGATTGCAATATTTTTTTATCAAACATCTTGGACGCTTATGTCATCAGTTTAATTTCTAATAGAAAAGAGAGATTCACGCCCCCAAATGTGCATTTCTTTACACAAAAGAAAAAAAGATCATCTACTCACTTCCAAGAACAACTTTATTATGGAACATGAAGATAAAATGCACGAATTAGCAATTTCTAGACGACAATCAAACATACTCACAGGATTACATTATTCTACAAAAGCAAGTCCAAGGTAGCAGCTTCCAAACTCTTCATCACAGAATCCTATTCATGATGTTTTAATTAACCCAACAACAAAAGCAGGAGTGGCATTAACAATATACAGATAACTTCTCTTGGCAAACAGAGGAGTTACCATAAATAACAATCACTTTAAATACACAGGGAACACACACGAGTGCATGAATCTACTGACACTCAAGGCATTTACAGTATTGGTACAATCATTAAGCAGAAGCTGCCGCATTTTCCCACATACAGCGGCGACTGAACCCTCCCGTTTCAGAGCGAGAGCTTCATCTTCCACTGCTGCTGCTGCCCAATTACATCCCCCTTGTGGCAGACCGCGCTCGCAGATTCACAAACAGCCGCTGATGTGGCCACGCAACTCCAGCATGTCTAAACATCACACGTTCATCTGGCAAATCTTGTTAAATCCACAGTTCACACATGATACAAAACATTCACTTCACTTTGCATCAACTTCAACACTGATGCTGAGATGGAACTCCGAGTGCTGCAGCTGGAATATATCCACATGTTCTTTATGTTACACTAAGTCTCTGTAACACTATATACAGTCTTTTACATTGTAAAGCATTGAGGTTTACAACCACCTCTGCTGCTCATACACACGTTTTTTTTTCTAAGTTATGAGAGAATCAAAAACTAATCATTCAAGGGTGAAAGAGGTAAATATTGTATTAAGGGATTATAAGTTCTAACTAATTCTGTATTCAAATGTGTCACAAGTTTTTAAACATTTCTAACTATCAGAAAACTGAGAGTCATCAATAATTGGTCTCGGCTTTGTGACGTAATAAATTAAGCCCTTCACGGCAGCGAAAGTCTCGTTTTCACTTTTCTCACCCCGCTGCAGTGATGTAGAAGTGTTCTCAGGGCTGTGTCGGTACACTGACATCGCCGGTGGGTGTGGTTACTGTTGAAGCTTTCAACCAGAGGGGGCAGTAAAAACGCTGCTTTTCAGCCTGGTGTTAAGTTTGTCTTCAGTACAATATGAATTCATATTAATAAGTCGTAGATAGAAGGATTTTATTGTATACTCTCTGCATGTTAGGACTTGGAGGGTCATCATGATCTGTTTGGAAGGATTGTTATGATTGGGCAGTTCGTAGTGGCTCGTAGTTTGTCTCGTTCATCAAAGAGTTCTAATATTTGTACGTCGGCTTACAACAACCCAGCTGTTTCCATCTCATCCACACCTACACTACCATTTTGGTTTTGATCAGATTCTGGCGTCGGCACAGGAAAGTGACGTCCCTATTCTTAATGCCAAGTGCTTTTGCCTCCGCTGATATTAATTAAATAAAATTACAACGGGAGATTGCACGCACGCACCGTTTCCTGTAAATCCCTCGGTGCGCAGATAAACTCAGACCCTAACAGTGAATGATTACTGAACGCAGATCCATTGAATGGCAACTGCTGAAAACATGTCGGCTATGAATGGTGTTGAAAACGGGGTTTGATATTATGAACATTTTAAAAAGACAAATCAAGTTTTGCCTGAGTAAACATCTACCAAAGGGACACCTAGCAACCTAAAGGTTGTCCTACTACATTACTGATCTGTAAAGCCTTTTTTTGGGGGGGGGGGGGGGGGCTGAAAGCAATTAGTGACAAGTTATAAATCCATTATAAAGTATGCCTTATTAAAAACAGGTATAGATGCTGTGGGAGCTAAAATGACACAATAAACATCATTATGGCACTTTTTGAATTCATATGTACTTCTGCTTCCCCATCTCCACAAACCATCAAGAGATCTTTGCAAAGACACAAACCCCCTGGCCTCCAGAACACACTCGGCACAGTCTGTCTTGGTTTTCACATTGCGTTCCGAGGACTCGTCCTTCGCAATGAAAACTAGAGCCAGTTATGTCCGTGAAGGTTCAGGCATGACTCACCCTTTAATAGGCTGTCTGCCCTGAAAACATCAGGGAGGGCGGGTGGCAAACGGTTATTAAAGCTGCTTTTTTTTGTGTGAAAATAAACTTTTTTTCTCAGCCTAAAATCCCCAAAGCCTGTATAATGCTGAGGAATACGACCCAGCCTGAATTCCACTCTTGGAAAACGTTGAATCAGAACTTGAGGAATGAATTCTGCTCTCCCGAGCCGGACTCGTTGGCGTTATTCTTCTAGTTTCTAGTTTGATCATGGCATCGACACCATATATCTGAAGTGGGCATGGTGTTTCTGTTCACATTTATGTTTTCGTTGACACACGCAGTTTATCACGTTGGCAGGTGAGACATGAGACAACAGCTGTGAATAACAAAGAGCTTATCTGTTGTCGTTTGTTGCTTTACAATGTCCGGGATCATTCTCGGCCCTTGTGGATCGAGACTCTCATTACGCATCAGTGGCTGTGATCTATGTTTACATGTCCATTCAAAGCAGCCCGGCTTTGGAAAGGTCAGCAGGCCCTCGGAGAACAATATTCCCACTTAGCAGAATCCATTAAGTGACATTTTCAAACTCCTTAATCGTCGATTGGCCCTCCTGAAATCGTCCGTCTGGCTTTGAACGAACCTCAAGCATCGCTGAAATCCACCTTCCTGTACGCACATGGGTCCGGGAACATCATCTTCTGGTCCGACAGCAGCTCGTCCGTGACGGTGAGCTCCTCCAGCTCGGTGGTGAAGTGGTCGGCGCTCTCCACCATCGACGTTTCCTTGACCGCGCTGTACGTGAGGGCCACGCTGTAGGCGGCGGGCTTGTCCGAGCCTTTCCTCCCGCAGCGGCAGATCTTGCGGAAGGCGGCGCGGAACTTCTGCGACATGGCGTTGTAGATGACCGGGTTGATGGCGCTGTTGAGGTAGATGCAGACGCGGCAGAAGAGCAGGAACCAGCTGTCCAGGTAGGCGCGGTCCAGGAAGGAGTTGACCACCACCAGGGTGCGGTACGGCATCCAGAGCGCGGCGAACAGGATCACCACCACGGCCAGCATCTTGGTCACCTGGAGTTAGGCAACAAGGGATAATACAAGAACAGATGCTGCAGTACAGAGGATGAATAAATACTGTTGAGGCCTTAACACGGAGGAACAAGCTTTAAAAGGTTTTCCAACTTCTTTCTCTTCATGATTTTGATTTCATGATTCATAAAGAGACAATTTCTTAAATTGACAATGAGGAAGTTCTGGCCATTTGTAAATGGTAAAAGGTAAATGGACTTGTACTTGTACACTATACAGTCCCTGACAAAAGTCTTGTCACTTATCCATTTTGTAGAAACAACAGCTTATAACCTGACTTTTAATTAATCCATTGGTTTTAGAAATGGCTCATATGAAAGCTAAAACCCTCCCAAAATATGTTTAATATACTAAAATAAATTTGCTTCACTGAAGAAAGATTGATCATTTAATGAACACAGAAAGCTCAGATTTTGGCAAGACAAAAGTTTTGTCGCCTACAGAGAGTAATGTGAAAATTGAACAAATAATTTACTTCAAATACCAAAATATGTTGCATAACATCAGTGGATTAAGTAGTGGTGCTGTGAGATCCATATTTAATATCTTGTATGACTTTCATGAGCTTGAAGGACTGCATCCATGCGGTTCGACAATGATTCATACAATTTATTGATGAAGTCATCAGGAATAGCAAAGAAAGCAGTCTTGCATGCCTCCCAGAGTTCATCAAGATTCTTTGGTTTCGTCTTCCATGCTTCCTCTTTCATTCTACCCCGGACATGCTCAATGATGGTCATGTCTGGTGACTGGGCTGGCCAGTCCTGGAGCACCTTGATCTTCTTCGCCTTGAGGAACTTTGATGTAGAGATGGAAGTATGCGATGGAGCACCATCCTGCTGCAAAATTTGACCCCTTTTATGGTTGGGAATGTAAGAGGTAGCTAATACTTCTTGATATTTTAGGCTATTGATATTGCCTTCCACCCTGCAAATCTCTCGCACACCCCCATACTGGATGTAACCCCAGACCATGATTTTTCCACCACCAAACTTAACTGTTTTCTGGGTGAATCTCGGATCCATGCGGGCTCCAGTAGGTCTCCTGCAATATTTGCGGCGGCTGTGATGTAATTCAACCGAAGATTCATCTGAGAAATCCACCTTCTGCCACTTTTCCAGCGTCCATCCTTTTAGCAGGCTCTGGGCCTTGGCAAATGCCACACGTTTTTTTAATTGCCTTTTGTTTAGTGCTGGTTTCTGGGCACTGATTCGACCATGGAGGCCATTTTGAGACAGAATTCTACAAACTGTCCTGGTTGACACGGGGACTTGAGGTGACCAGGCCTGGTGGAGCTCTGCTGCAGTGGAAAAGGGGCTGGCCTTGGATTTTCGAGCCAACAAACGGTCCTCCCGAGCAGTTGTCTTGCGGGGTCTGCCGGTCCTGGGCTTGTCAAAAACATCTCCAGTCTCTTCAAATCTTTTTCTTATTCTTTGTACTTGACGCTGAGACACATTGAAGGTGTCAGCCACCTCAGCAGTGGATCTGGTCTTCAGCCTCTTGATAATCAACGCTTTGGTCTCAGGGTGAATCTTAGGCATGTTGTCAGAGGTCAAGTTGCAGTTGATGTGAAGGTCTGGTGTGCTGGGGTTCTTTTTATACACACCCACTAATTGATTGATCAATTATTGATCACAGGTGAGGCTGTAATCTAGGATTGGGTGCAGCATATGACAAGGTGACAAGACTTTTGTCTTTGCAAAAACTGACTCAGTGGGCTTTACCAAGCTGTGAACGTTAGAATCCTTTTCAGCAGTTTCGTTTGGCACCAAAACATTATTTCAAAAGCTGTTGGGATTGAAATTAGCCATTTCTTGTAAAAAAAAAAAAATTGATTACAAATATATTTGAGGGGCACTTAAGGTCAACTTGTACCCAAGCGACAAGACTTTTGTCAGGAACTGTACTTGTATAGCGCCTTTCTAGTCTTTCGACCACTCAAAGCCCTTTTACACTACATGTCCTTCACACATCATTCACACTCAATCACACACCGATGGCACAGCCTTCAGGAGCAATTTCAGGTTAAGTGTCTTGCCTGAGGACAGATCAACATGGACTGGAAGAGCCGGGGATCAAACCGGTCAGGGACGACACTCTGCCTTCTGAGCCACAGTCGCCCGTAATCTCAGTTGTTAAAGGGCCAGTTCACCCGAACTACAAGTGTTTTTTTTTTATATATATATATATATATATAATTTAACAAAGACCCCCTCTTAATCGTATCAGCGATTAAGCATATGGTTATTTCTCTTTGTACTCTTAGATGCTTACTTCAGACCTGTTTGATAGCGATAAACTGAAACACATTTAATTTGATTGATGACAATATCACTTTGTTTTGCCCTGATATTCATATGTTGCTTTAGCCTGGCTGGCTTTGAGGCTACGTTTGCTAGCACCTGAAGACACGTGGCACATTTTGGTCTCCCATCGCCGTTCTCAACAGAACCAAATTCAAACCTTCGTCATATTTGTCTCAATTTAGCTAGTTTGGGGCTTGGCGCCACTTGGGCGATGTGGACTGACTGCAATGTTTCTCCATGCTAGCCAGCTAGCTAGATGGCTAATGAGCCAAGCTAAATAGCAGCAGGAACGGCCAGTGAGTGAAGTGACTGATTCATAATTGACGTGTCACAATCCGTTTTTTATTTATCCGCCGCTTTGAAAGGCATGACTGCTCAGCAGATGCGCTCAGTTTGTCAGTTTTGACAGATTTGGGTTTAATCTATACAGTAAATTGTCTCGACACGTGAATAAATCGAGATGTGACATTGGAACATCAACATACATAATACCCAGCAATCATCATTGCATACCTGTATCAAAAACACCAAAGAAAATAAGAAATTATTCATTTACATGAATTCCTTTCTTTACAGTTCATATAATAAGCATATGGTTTTGTTATAGATATACTGACAATTTTACCCCCGAAAAAGCAAACCATGACGGAGATGGGTTTGCCTTTTTGCAAGCACAAGCATCTTTAAACCCTTGTTTTGAACACAGGGTACTTCTGTGCCATCCATCTGAATCATAATTAAGGACCTTTTTCAACACTGTGTTGGGAGGCTTGCTCTCTCCACTATTTATTTAGTTACTTACAGTGGTGCAGGAAGTCCAGTACTCAGGTGGTGTACTTACATTTGTGTAGCAATACCCCACTGTAAAAACATGTATGCTGAACAAATGCCCCTTTGAGACTAGCCTACTTTATACATTTTATTACTGTATTATTTTAGTAATGCAGTATTAGTGACACATCCATGTGTGAGCGCCATTTATTACACTGAATGTACTTGGATACATTTCGAGTCGCACCATTATCAGATTTTTTTTATTCCGTTTTTTGAAGACATAAGCACGCGCCACCCACCTGTCTGCGCGAGGTCGCGGTGGAGCTGGAGTGGCGCGAGTTTTTGCAGCTGGTCCTCTTGTTGTTGGCGCCGTCATTCGGTCCGTTCTTCTTCTTCTTCTTGTCTTTGGGGTCGGAGGGCAGCGGGTTGAGGAAGAGGATCCGGGCGATGAGGCCGTACAGGACCGCGGAGAGCAGCAGCGGCAGCACGAAGAACACGCCGAAGTCGAAGAAGTAAACGGGCAGGTAGAACTTCCTGGGCACCCTGTAGCCGCACACGACGATGGTGACGTTGTCGTACACCAGCTGCTCGATGTCCGACAGGTAGAACCACATCACGCAGTACAGAGAGGTGAACGCCCACACGAACAAGATTATCTTTTTGGCTCGGGACAGCGTGCACAGGAACTGCGCTTTAATCGGATGGCAGATGGCGATGTACCGCTCTATGGTGAACGCGGTGATGGAGCACGAGGACGCGTTGATCCCGAGGTACTGGAAGTAGGTGATGCAGAGGCACCCGTAGTGGCCGAACACCCACGACCCAAAGAGGCTGTCGGTGATCGCCGGCATACCCGCCGCGGTCAGCACCATCACATCGGCCACCGCCAGACTCACCAGGTAGCAGTTGGTCGGAGTCCTCATGTGTTTGGTCGTGAGCACCACCAGCACCACCATCACGTTGCCGACTAACCCTAACGCGCAGATCACGAGGAGCAGTACGCTGCTGATCACTTTGAACTGGAGGCTGTAGTCCGTCCACAACCCTAAAGTGCCGTTGAGCCCCGGAGCTGCCGCTGTAAAGTTTTCCATCTCGACGCTCGAGCTCCAAAACTCCGCGGGTTTTGGTGCCTCCTGACGCGCCAGACCGGTTTTTACGCGCGGTGGAAAGCGAGAGACGAATCAACGCTGCGGGTCCGGGGAAAAGTGTTTATCGGTCCAAAAAGAAGAAAAAAACAAAAAAGAAAACTCACAACTGCACCCAGTCGCGTGCTGCACGTGAAAGCATCATAATGTGACAAAGAGCCGCTCGGACTCTGACGTATTCTCCGCGTTCGTGCTGTGCGTAAAAAAAAAAAAAAGATCGATGCGTCGCCGAGTTCCCGTCAGAACAAACTGCGTCCGTCGCCCAGATGGCGGGTTGGTTTTGAAGCCTTGCTCTTGGCACGGGCTCTCATTACGCATGCGAGGGGATTAGCCCATCATGACATTTTCGGACACCAGAAGCCACCCCCCCCTCCCTCCAACAAACAAAAGCTGCTCAAACGCCACAATGTACCACATATGTGTGTGTGTTCTGCTGGGATTAGTTCATTACTCGCAGAAGGCTGCAGACATCCGTGTGAGTGATGTTTTATAAAGATGATTTCAACGTGTAATTCTGTCTCTGGACCAGATTGAGAGAGTTTAACCCTGAAAATCAGAACTCACTTTGTAAGATTTGTGCAGATTCAATGCAGTCTTGACGACCAGCTCAACAGGCTGCCACTTTAATAAGAAAAAAAAGGCAGCATTATGGAATGAACTGCAGTCTAAAAATGGTTCTATGTGCATCCCTTCAGGTGAAGGTACAGGCGGTTTCTCATTTTTATAGCGGGTGCTCTTATTTTGGAAGACGTTGGAGTGGCTTGTTCACACTAGCAGGATTACATTCACAGAAGGAAGTTAAGAAGTGTCGTTACGTCCTGAGTAATGTTGTAAAATATGAATGTCTTAATCGTTCCTTGGAATATGTCCAAGTTACAGATGATGGATGGATCCTTGGCATCGATCTAGGAGGAAAATGCTGAGCAGTCTTTATTAAGCAAAGTGTCTATACATCATCACTATAAATATGTTTTTTCCCCTTTTCCAGTTGCAATTAAGATCATAGAGATTTTGATCATTTTGATTAAATTTTGACACCCAAAACAAGTCTTTATATCAAATGATCCCATTAAATGTTCATATAGTTTCTTTAAAATCTTACTCTCAATGTGAAGAAAATACTATATTCTGCAGTCAAATTCAAGCGTGGAATACTGACCGTATATAAGTGTTAGAAGTACACGAATATAACAGACCTCAGTGGTACTACAGCTCTGACTAAGATTTAAAAAAGAGGGTTTAGATTCAAGGAAGACGGTTTGTTTTACATTGTATTGTTTCACACTTCCAGTCCTCCATGCCGCAACATCTTGTGTCCTCGTTTTGACCATCACATGTGACACACGTCTTTACCATACCTCACTTTGAAGCACCTTCGTGCACCAAGTAAAACATATTTAGTTACCGCTACAAAAGAAAGTCCTCCTTGCCCAAAATGTGAGCCGCGTGCTGACATAAATTAAAGCGCTGAAGGGACTTTCAGCTGATTCAGTATTAAAAAACAATAGTTATCTGTGAAGTTGAAAGAAATAAACCAGCGCTCGCCAGCATGAAAAGCACAAAAACAAATGGCACAGATCTGCAGTGACCTGCATTAGCCGCCGTGCTGTCCAACAGCATGGGAGTGTGCAGCGGCCTGTTCTCTCTGCACCACACTGTGGAGGTGGAGAAGCCCTCCTCCACACCAACTGTGCACGCGCTCCCCACAGAACAGAGCTCATCACACCAACACACTCTGTTCACGGCCGTCGTGCTGCGAGCACTGAAGCTGCTATAGAGCCGTCCATCCTGAGCAACAGGTGGACCGGGACGACAGGGAATTACATAATGATGACGCCCACCCCCTATTCTTTCTCCCATGATTCCCATTATCGCTCAGCTGTGAAGGAAGAGTGCGTTTTAGCGCAGTCTCTTGAATGAGTCTATCTTAGTTCATCTGCTGTTTGGTCCCGTGAAGTTAGCAGATACCAATCTGCTGTGATTAATTAGGCGGATTTGTTTGTTAGCAGCAGTGTTTTGTTTTTCTAAATTAATTTAAATTAAGGTCTAAGAAGCTGTTTTTGTGCCAACTTGTGGACAGTAAATTCCCCAAATTAAGGGGAGTAAAAAACAAGTCACTAACACATGTCACCATGAAACTTCCCAGGTTAATAACATACAGTAAGACCGTTACTTTAATGGTTTTCTAAAATGTTATGTATACATTTACAGAACACAAATCTGAACATTTGATAAAGCCAGTTCTTTTTGTCACTCCATCAATCAGAAAATACTGTCAACAGCCATAAAACAAAACTAATCCTCCATGCTTTTGGTAATAGAATGTTTAATAAATCAGGCTATGAATGATATATGAACAGACCCCTCTGTAAAAACCTTCAGAACACAGAGAGGAATGAAACTGTAAAGTTTGGTGTATGTAAGAGCTGCTGAAGTGGAGATTTCTGGATCAGAGTCTGAGAGAAAACTCATTCAGAGAAAACAGCCTTTAAAGAGATGTTTAGTAACAGACACGTTGAAGACACTGGATGAATATGGTAAAAACATAACTAATAGATATCACCATGAATCTTCCCCAGTTGATTCCTGACATTAAGATGATATTGTTTTGTATTACAAGTTTTCTGAAATATTATGGTTAAATATGCAAATGAGGCATTATCTAATGGTAACTTTTGGTGAATTTAGGAGAAATCTACAGACGCAAGCACGCAAAGTGGTACAACATGCTCAAACCAATGCCAATTTATCAGAGACTCGTCATTATTGTTTTTACAGTTCAATAGTGCCATCATATGCAGCTCCTGTTGCTCGAGTACATAATTCAAATCATAGCAGCAGTATTAGGAAGCAGAAAAAGCTGTGGAAAAGGAGTGAAAGAGTTGTACTGCCACCCAAAGGACACACCTGAGCAGCACCCAACGTGACACAACCCAAAGAGCAATTCTGCCTTTATTTGAGGGCAGTGTGGAGGTGAGGAGATGACCACAGACGTGCGTTCTGATGTCGTTGAGAACAGTTGTAAATGTGACTACGTCATTCAGACAGCAGCTCCTCAAACGTGACTTTAGAGATGTAGTGTTTGCTCTTCATATCGCGTTAGAAAAGATCATTTGATTTTTGTTTGTATTAAGGGGGGATTTATTCAGATATATTTGAACATCAATTTATCGAAATATATGTATAACATTGGTAACTAGAAAATTCCGCAGGACATTTTGACAGTGTGGCTGCTGCCCGAAGACGTCGCAATATATATATATACACGCCGATATTACCGGTAACTAACCATGTATTTTGAGGGTAAACCACATGCTCTGTTTCACTGTGAGAGACATGTAGAGAATACAATGGTTGTATTGCCTTGTTTTATTACCATTTCAACAGGAAATGAATCAATGAATGACTGAAAGAATGTTCTAAAAAATGTATTATCAATGTATCATGCATAACTACACCCAACCCACTGACAATAAGCACTTGGGCTTACAAGTAACCATAAATCCATACAAGGCAGGACCAGAGTGCAGTGTGCACATTTTAATAGAAAAAAAATACAAAAACAACTAAGCTAATTCTGAGCTTAATGTTACGATACAGTTACTCCAAGGGGCTTTTATTTTGAAAGGGTGGGACTGGGTTGCGAGAGAGGGGCAGAGGAGACAGAATCATAATGAAAGAGAGAGAGACAGAGATACAGTTTACATGGTGAAGAAGTGAGAAAACCAAAGTCATGTACACATAACAAGACGGTCACAACATTGTTGTTTGGCTTATACAATATACAAACAATATAAAGTATTATGCGGTGTAATATCCAAGTGAGCATCTTTAATTCCGTTGAAAAGACGTCTATGGTCACCGGTGAAAAGACGTTCAAAACTGGTCTAAAAGTGAAAATGTTTTTCTAATACTTGTTTTATTTACAGATGTCCACCTTGAAAATATGACAGACCTTCTGAAACCGGCTCCTGTGTGGCTTTGACAACGATTTAAAAAAGGAAAGGGAGATTATGGTTGTATATAACGAACATTGTTTATGTTGTATTTATAATTGTTGCTTAATAAATAAAAAGTCACTGTTGCCTGTGTCGCTTGGTCTTCTTTGTCCTGTAAGTGGAAACTGATGATGTGTTACGATGATTAATTATTTGATTGCTGATTATAATAGATATTGACTTTTTATCATTTCATTTTGCGTATCTTATTAAATAACTGCAATATTACCGGGGGATGTGATCCTAAAGGGTTTCATCTCTACTTTAATGTACATTACTAGACAATTAACAAAGGGAGGCCAGCGGAGGATAGCTGTAGAAGATATTTCCATGACCAGAAGCCCTCCCAAAATGAGGCGGTTTCATTCCCACCTTACCCAAACTAAATGTCCGGTTGAAATGTGGCCATAGTACACAAATAATGATAGTTTATTTGGATAGCCTTCATGCATAAACACAAAGTGCTTCACATCAAAGAATCAGGATAGATTCATTTATCTTGAAGTAATTATGCAAATAACATACTCGTCTCCAAATATGCTGCAGTTTTACTTATATTAAGCCACAACAATAGATGTTTTTTGTACAGATGTGTAAGCGTACAGCTGAGCATATGTACATGTTTGATTATTTAATTGTCCATGTGTTACTACCCCTAAAGACAGTCTGAGTGATGCTTTTTTAAGACATTTTATTTAAAAAATACAGCAGAATTCCAAAATGACTAAAACAAAATGCCCCTAAAACATAATATATAAAACATGTTTGACTGTTTGTCCGAAGAGAGAGCCGTGATAAAACTCTGTGTAAAGCACAGGTTGATTTTTTTGTCTGCAGCTGCTGTAGATGCTGGGCCGCCTGTCATTCAAAGGGGAAATATTAAATTAAGGTACAAAACTGTGCAGTTTTCATAGCTATCACAACTGATACTAAGTCTTGAATTTAAACCGATATCTGCTTTTACATTCAAGTTTTGTTGACACCTAAATGAAATACTTATTGGAATGGCTGTTTATTAATTTTGATATGTTTAAGTTTCCCACTTTGTCGTTAAATCCTGTAAAACAAGGAGGGATGGTTTGTTTAATATTTATAGTGATTTTTCCAGCACTACATGCTGGCAGTGACTTAGTTGTTTTTGTGTTTTTTCTATTAAAATGTGTACACTGCACTCTGGTCCTGGCTTGTATGAATTTGTGGTTACTTGTCAGTGGGTTGGGTGTAGTTATGCATGATACATTGATAATTCATTTTAAAAACCAAAAAACAATTTCAGTCATTCATTGCTTC